GGGGCGGCGGGGGGGAGGGAGGAAGGGGTACCTCATGTGATCACTCAATTAAAGACTGTATCATACTGCACATACACAAAGACATTATTTACGGATTTTCAGCTTTCCTCCTAAATCTCCAGGTGTTGAGCTCTAGGGATCAGCCATACCTCCCCTGAGAGCACGTTGTAAAAACTGTAAGAAACTGCAAAGTAAAAACAGATGTCACCTTTCATTGCCATACATTTTTTGTGATGACTCAAAGTGACACCAAATTAATGTCTATACCTTCTGCCATGCCACAATGTGGCATTAACAAGTAGTAGTTATAAATTCTGCTGCTTTATTGAGGCAGACATCTATTTGGTCTATGGCAGGAAAGCATAGGCCATCCAGAGCTTCCTGCTTTCTCTCAGCTCCCACCTGCCCCAACAGGAGCTCCCTGGGCTTGAGGGGTCTGGCCCTGTGCACCTCAGCAATTCTTATGCAGGATCTGGCCCCTCAAGCACAGGGAGCACCTGCCCAGCTTTCCCCACTGACCGAGATGTGCCCTGGCAATGTCTGGGGCATGTATCTAGAAGCAGGGAAAGTTGGGACATTCCAGTGGAGTCCCAGGGCTGGGGCTGCCAGTCAGATGACTAATGTCTCAGCTCTAGGGCTGCACCGGACTGAGTTCCCGAAGACTGCCAAGGTTCAGTCTCTGCAAGTGGGGAACATGTCACCTGTTGTCCTGAAAGATCAACAAGACGGACAATGAACAATGTGTTTTGCCCAATGAAGCAGATCAGTTCTGCTAGGACATGTCCCAGCACAGTTCACCTACTTTATTTGAGGATATCTGTTTCTAGCCAGAGAGAAAGAGACATCCTTCCTTCAACTGTAGACATTCTCTCTCTTTCCTCCAGGTTGAATGATGGAAAGGTACAAATATGAAAAGCAGCAATGTTTATATAGTTTAATAAAAGTAACACAAATGAATTGACTTCCAATTTCTCATAAGAGATATTGCTTCAACCTACAATAAAGAAAGATGTGCTTACAGGACTGATCCACACCATAGACTTAGCAGTGAACTAACTGCTTAGTCTACCCATCGATAAATGGAGATTTTGTACAAGTTCTTATTTTACACATTATTTTTACATTAGAGAGGTTAAATGAACAGGAATTGCAGATGCTCAGTGCCTCAGAATAAACTCCCAAGGGTTGTTTTTTTTTTGTTTGGGTTGAGTCATTTTTTCCACTGGGAATTTTGAGACCAAGGCAACTTTATCCATTCTTAATCCAAGTAATTTCCTTTATCTAGCAAGAAAAAGAAATAACTTGTGCAGAAATAATGCTAAGCAGTAAACAAACAAACAAAAAAAATGGTACCATTGCATGCATGAATGGAGACAAGAAAAAAGGATTTTCAAACCCAACTGTAGTATTGATTGTTAAAATATTTCACATAAAAAATAGTTAAGTAGGACCCAGCAATTAAGACAGACAGAAGTTAACAGAACATTAGTCTGCTGCTCTCACCGTTAATAAACTGAGGTAGATAATGTCTTTTTTAATTAAAACATTTTTCTTTCTAAAAACAGACTTAAAATATAACATTATGTCAACCTATATTAGAGCCTACTTTGATTACAAGTATTAAGCTCTACACACTTGGTCCCAAAACTTAAAAGAAAACGATTGTTATTGGCTAAACTGCTATAGCCAGAGTTGAAGTGCTATAACAGTTTTTGACCAGCATTAGCCTTTTCTACAGGTACAGAGACCTTAATTTCAGTTGATAGTTAATTTAGTTTTAAGAAGTTAATTGTGAGTTGAAAAGCAGGTAAACTAGTTTTCCCCTTTTAACCTATGAATAAAATTAGATATAACTGGATGAGACATTAATTCCAAAAAAGTCTTCCAGGACATTATGACCAGAAATTATTCAGTTCATTGATTAACTATGTAATACTTAATTTTTTTTAAAGCTTTTGATAAATTAGTTTAAATGCGAAGGTTGGGAGAAGTTTCAGATAAGCTTTCAGTGCTAAGGGCACTTACACACAAATCAGGAGGCTACTTCAATGCACTGTAATTACAGATACAATTTATCGAGTGTGGTAATAATAGCTTCGACCATCAAGGACAATAAAAAGTCCTTTTTCAGGTATGTGGGGAGCTGGAGGAAAAGCAAGGGCAACATTGGACCCCTGCTGAACCAGATGGGGCAACTGCCAATTGACACCCAGGAAAAAGCCAACCTATTAAATGGGTACTTTGCTTCAGTCTTTCATCAGTCCCATGGGACACCCATGCCCACTACGGGACAGGGAAGTCCGGGTGGGGGAGATCCCCTGCCCTCCATAAATGCTGACCTCGTGAAGGAACATCTTGAGAAACTGGATACCTTCAAGTCAGCCGGCCCTGACAATCTACACCCCAGGGGACTCAGGGAGCTGGCGAGTGTCATAGCCCAGCCCCTGGCACACATCTTTAAAAACTCCTGGTGCTCTGGTGTAGTGCCCGAAGACTGGAAGAAGGCCAATGTGGTGCCTATCTTCAAGAAAGGGAGGAAAGTGGATCCAGCTAACTATAGGCCCATTAGCTTGACTTCTATCCTGGCGAAGATCTTAGAAAAGTTTATTAAAGAGGCCATCCTTAATGGACTGGCCAACACCAACATCCTAAGGGATAGCCAGCACAGGTTTGTTGTGGGTAGGTCTTGCTTGACCAATCTCATTTCCTTCTACAACCAGGTGACCTATCACCTGGAGAAGGGACAAGAGATTGATGTCATATATCTTGACTTCAAAAAAGCCTTCAATCTGGTATCCCACGATCACCTCTGGGCAAAACTAGCCAACTGTGGCCTTGGGTCCACCATGATCCACTGGCTGGGAAATTGGCTCCATGGTCGGACCCAGAGGGTTGTAATTGATGGCAGTCACTCATCATGGTGTCCTGTGACCACTGGGGTCCCTCAAGGCTCTGCCCTTGGACCCATATTGTTCAACATCTTCATTAATGATGTGGACATTGAAGTCAGGAGTGGACTGGCCAAGTTCACCGATGACACCAAACTTTGGGGCAAAGCATCCACGCCAGGTGAAGGGCGGGTGGATCCAGGCTGACCTGGACAGGCTCAGCAAATGGGCGGATGAGAACCTGATGGTGTTTAACACCGAAAAATGCAAGGTTCTCC